ATGACTGCTGGTTCTGCTTACAGCTCCTGAAGCGATAGCAGCACAATAATTGAGTGTTGTGAAGCAGCTTGAGATGAGTGGTACATTCAGGAGGGTGTATAATATATTCACTGTTTTTCTTCACTGTTTTATTTCGTACCTAAACTCTATACCCAAGCATTCAGAGAGAGATCTCATCTGATAACTGAATCTGCGTTCAGTTGTCATAATTCTAGTCCATAGGTCCTTCCAAAATGGAAGACCATAAGCCCCTTTCTAACAGCATAAATACACATACTCAAATTCTCAAGGCTTTATGATGAATTCTTGGCATGCTTTATATTCCCCAGCAATTTCAAAAGAAAATGAGCAAGAAGTTCAAGAAAAGAGTTTATAAAATTGTGGACTACACAGTATTTAGTGCATAAGCTAACTTAATTACAGAAGTATGAGGAAAAAAAGTCATGGTATGTCAGGGCATACCAGGAACTCTAAAAAGCTTGTGCCATACTTGACCTGAAACCAGTACCTTCAGTCTGGGTATGTAGAAGAAAATACAATATTTCTGGAAACAAACTGCATCCTTCTCAGTGCTGTACTTGGCTTTATTCCTTCTAATCAGTTTACCAGTAAAGTATGTTGTGCGTATTTTATGTTTACACTTCAGAGGAACAAAATCCTTAAGTGATGAGCCTAATAGGATCCTTTACTAAAATCCTGAGAACATTACAGTTGGCAATCTTTTTGAGTGGCTTGCTAAGATTTCTTTTCTGCAGAGCTATCGATTTTCTTTCATTTTCCAGACTCTGTGAGTCTTCACTTAGAAGAAAGTCTTTTAGAAGTAGAAAGTCTGAAAAGCATGCTGAATCATAGGCCACACACCATTTCTGCTTGAGTGTGCAATATACCACTGAGAAGGAAATAAAATTACCTCACTTGATACCATGTTAAATAAATTAGAGATCTGCATGACCTTTTGTCCGCAAACCCAGGCAGTCCTAAAAAACAGGAACTCATAGCAGTTTTCCTTTCCTGGTTTTATGCACACTGCTCTTTCTGGACTTATGCCTATTTCCAGTTACTTCTGTTCATACCTTTAATAAAGTATATTTGTTGAAATACCTTTATTAGAATGTGTGATCAATTAAATAACTTTGTGTCTTACAATAAACACATACAGTACAATCTGAAGTTGGTAAGTCATTGTTGACAGATTCTATACTTTTCTGAATTGAAAAAGTATGAGTATTTTCACTTTTACTGAGTGCTCATTATTTATGCATTGAGTCAAAAGTGTAGAATTTTATTATCAAAGCATAGGAGGAAATCTCTGAGATTTACATCAAAGTCCACTGAACAGAAAAAGTCCTCTCTGCAGCAACAAATGTCAGGCCACCTTTACTGAGTTAAGCAAAAGTATTGATGTGTGGAAAAATCCAATGAGACTTGCATCTGAAACCAAAAGTACAACATTTTAAGAAAATGTAGTTTATATAGATCTGAGATGTAACAACCATAAACAGGATTTTTCCATGTCATAAACTCTGGTGTGGTAAGAAATGTCTGCCTGCATTGATCCAAACCAGAACGCACAGGATGCATGCACTTTGTTTCTTTGATTCAAGTGCATTCAGCTGACATTCTCATCCTCTTTGCATGAGCTGAAGGATCTTGGATACAGCTGCAACTCTATGAGAAAGCATGAAGAAAAGTAAGGAAGATACGGTCAACTAACCATCAACTCAGAAGAATAGCTAGGACAACAAGTAGCCATTATTACTTGAGTATTACCTCCAAGCTTCCCGCTGAGTATCAGGCTGATTTGTTAGTGTAAGGCCACAAAGATTCGTAAAGCTTATGCTACCATGAATTAACCTGCATCCAAACTTCAGGTTATTAAAAACAATGCACTACAAACCCCTGAGATCACAAATCTCTCTTACAAACTGGAAGTCACACAAGCTCTGATATTGACAAGCTCCTCAGAACTAAAATTCTTGCAGAGTACCAGACTTTCAAGGTAGCCTCCCGACTCTTACCAATTTTTTAAAAAAAATATATATATATATAAAAAAATTTATGCTTTGCCAGACTCTTGCACAGAACATAACAAAATGTTGCTTTGTGTAGCCCCGTGTATAGAAAACTGTCCAGGGCTAAGCATACTATTCCATAAGTATATTCTTCAGAGTTTGGGGTTTTTTTTCATTCCTTTGATCATTGTGTTTCATCAATAGTAACTACTTACCAAAAGGAAGTGAAATAGGAAATATCATGCTTTTCAATTGACTGTGAGAAGAGGAATAAATACACAGATATGTAAATATTCCCCCTTCTGTTTGATAGTTTTCAATCTTGATGAACAGAACCTTCTTGCAGATTTAGTCAAAGAAAAACCAAAGCAGTATTCCTACATTTGTTATCACTAGCCAGAATAAGGAGAAGTGCACAGATTAAAAATTAAATTAAAATCTTTCCCTCTTCTTTATTTCCCCAAATTTCTCATATAATCTCTATTGTACAAAGCATATATATAAAAATTTATAAAACAACAGAGTATGGTTTCACATCATTTAGCCTACAACAAGGCTGTAACCCAACTCAGTAGCCCTTGACTATTCTCAGGCAAACCTGGCTATTAGTCTTCACTTTTCCAATGAGTAACAAAAGGGAGAATTGTGATGCAATCTCTCCTTTTAGAGCATAGCAGTCATCAAACAAACCAAGTTTCTTGGGGAACTGCACAGCCCCAAGCACACAGTCCCTCAGGGTGGTGGTCAGGGTGAATGAGCTCATTTACACCCATGAAGTTACTGGATTTAGACCCACTCCCTATACCTAGGCTACTACTAATCCCTTTGTTTGGCTTCTACTTCTTTAACGTGATATATCATAAATATAGTTAGATGAGTGATGCCTGAACTGACATATTTATATTCCAAAAAGCCTGTAGGTGGACTAGGAGCAAGCCAAAGTTAATTGAGATTTCTTATAAATATTCATAAGAAATCACAGAACAAAGTAGTCTCAAGTGACTTATCATTCCAACCAGTGTTTCTTCAAAATGAGCTTTCAGCATAGAACAATGGCCCCAACTTAATGAAAACAAATTACTAAATGTAAAAAGTTGTAAGGCTTATAAATATGTGAAATAATTTGATACTTCTTTAGTTTTAAATACAATCTCTCCTTTGATTTTGCATTAAACTAGATCAGTTTTTAAAGAATAATGCCTTTAAGCTTGCCTAGTTATTCAAAGAACAAGATGGGTAAAACTTTAAGTGTTCACCATGTAGTCTCAGGTAGACTTTATTTCATTCTTGATCTCTCTCCAGATGTTAAACTTATTCCATTAATGCTGTGTGAAATCAGAGTAGTAGATCATGTCTAGAATGGGCTCTCTTTTCATTAGCCTTTCTAACCAGATGTCTCATAAAAAGAGAACAGCAAAGGCTGGACCTAACATGCAGCATTGTCATTTAGTGGCATGTGGGTATTTCATCAAAAGCAGCAGCAAATTATGACTTCACTAACAGAGTGTTTCTATTGGGAAGCTTTTACACCATAGTGCCAATACACTGTGTAAGCCAATAATGTGAAAAAATTATCTTCTGCATTATACTGACACAAAACAATACTTTAGGTGACAGTAATAGAAAGAGGTAGATCCTAGAACATTTGTATATTAAACTTCTTGAAACTTAAGACATGTGTCTTTAAGGAAAAAAAAGTGTAAAGTAGACAACAATAAAACCACAAAAAAATAAAAGGGCAGAATACTCAGAACTAACTGGCTTCAGACTCCAAAAGATCTTGATTCTGACAAGATCCTTTTACACAGAGCAGCGGGTGGAATTTTATGCCTTTTATTGCATGATGAATGAATCTGGAAAGGAAAACTCCAACCCTAATTCCAAGATACCTTGATTCTGTGTGAAATTCTAGAAGTGTAAACAGCTCACTGAAAACATCATGCCACACTATCAAGTGTAAACAAGTTTACTGGTTAAAGAAAACTGAAATAAACATTCAGAAATAAGTCTTGAAAATCATCAATTAACATTGAACCTGAGAGAGGTAAATTAGAAATCTTGTACAGGGCAAATATAAAACCTCAACCCCATAATGCAAGACTGAATAGACTAAAACTTTTCCTTAAGCATGGGTATAAAGACAAAGATCTATAGAACTGACAAGACTTACAAGAAATTGTCACAAGAGGAAATGGACACTTGTCAAGTTTAATATCATTAAGAGAAAGTACTTCTGTATACTCTTCAAATTTAGTTTTGTCTCTTATTAAAACAAGCAGACTTAGGTGAGCCTAGGCCACAAGTAGATCACTACTCATCCCTTTTAGTGTATGCTTAAGCAAAAAGCACTTCCTGGTTAGATGGGAGTTAAATAGGACCACGTATGTGTAAATATATATATATGTTTGTTCCTAAATCCACACCAATTCACTGTCTAGGCAGTGGCAAGCACCACTTCTATACATCCTATTTTATATCCTTTCTTGTGCATTCCAGGGAAGCATTGGCAGTAACAGGATGCACAATTACTCCACTTTAAGACCTATCATTAAGAAAAATGTTTTAAGACATAAGCTATTGAAAAATACACACAAGCTTTCAATTGTTCAACAATGATCTTGCTCTTCCAGGACCTTCCCACTGATAGTGCTTTACATGGAATATTCCAGCACTTACCTTGTTAATTTAAAATAAGTATGGAATGCTCTTTACAATTTGAGACAATCCTTTTCTAGAGAATATGCAAGTACGTACAGTCTAATGAAATAAATTTGGAGTTAGCTGGTTGATTTCAGTGCTTTTCTATTGTGAAATACTTCAGAATACTCAGATACCAATAATAAGACTATGAGGGCTTTTTCGATGGATCTGTAAACTTAAACTTATCAAGTCTGGACATGGCAAGAGAATGTTTCTGTGTGACAGCACAAAAGTGTCAAACTCAGAAAGTACCTTAACAAGAAACCTTCAGAACACAAACTTCTGGTAGCATACTTATATTTTATTTCAATTAATACTCAGTTTATTTCAACCAATCCACAAACACAATCAAATTACAGCAGTTTTTGTTAGGAAACCTTTTTCAACAAACAGTGAGATGCCTGTTTCAACATGATCATCAAAGACAATTTTAGCCATCACTTGTCCCAATTCTACTTCCAAGACAATACTTAGAAGTGACAACTGCAGTCATCCCGTACCAAGTCAGAAATCACCCACTCAGGAAATCATAAACTGCTGTTTAACATCAGCTCCTGGCACATGTTGTTTTCATCCCTGTAAAAGAAGTTTTATTTAACTTGCAGTCAGCATCATGCACACATAAAACAGGTAACTACTCTTGGGCTGAGCTACATGAACCTTCTATATGACACTAACCCTTAGGCCAGAGTCTTTTCTCAAAAGAAATTACTTACCCAGTAACTTATCACGGGCTTTTCTCTGATTTTTTTGCTATTAATTTTTGGCTAAATCTATATAAAGTTTAACAGTTACCACACAAGTTTCTACCAGTCAAAGCTACTTTTCTTCGTTTTCCAGCAAGGAGTAAATTAAACTCCTTCAGGAACAGGAAACAATGCATCCAACTATTATCTGATAGTCCTTTTCACAGTTCCATACCTGGAGATCAAACAATTTACAAGAAACTGTTCATGCAAGACATTAATCACATAGGTTCACAAAAGCACAGAGATTTGGGAAACCTGTGATATTAAGATTCAGATATCATAACAAGATGACAGTTCAAAATCTTCCTACAAGCTACTAATAAAGTTGATTCAGCAGCCTGAAGTCCAGCAGTTACATTAATGTGTTCCTCCTAAGCATGATCCAAAGAAGAGTTTCAACCTCACCTCTGGGTTTGCAAGAGAACTTTTATACCCCTCTGTGTTGGCCACTTAAGACACTGCCAGACTTAAGAGGGCAAAGCATAAAAGGGGAGTAGTATATTTTAGTATATTGTTTTCTTATCAACTAAAATTATCTGAACTTACTATTTGCTCAAGAGATACCACAATCTGCTTGAAATTTGTAAATTATTAAAGAGCAATATTAAAAGCCATCAACAATTGTCATTAGATGAGAGCACTTACCTTCCAGTAGAAGGCATTATTTATTCCTAAGAAATCCTGAGCATTGCTTCACATTTAGGTGCGATTACCCATGTCTAAAACATTTCAGGCATGAGGTTGCTATGTGAGGCCTCTAAATAACACACAAAAAATCGTAAAATTATAATTAATAATGTTTAACTACAGACCTTCTCAAAGCCATAGTCTACAGAGTTGCTACTATGTTGTTAAACATTTTGAAAGTAATTTTCCATGGAGTTGCAGAAATAATTTACAAGTTCATTATCAAATCAAAACCTAGAGCAAAAGGTGGTGGTTTGAATCTGTTGAAGAGGCATGTTCATTAGCCCAGGTAAACTACATATAATATATTTTTAACAATTTTTAAAATATACTTTTATACATAAAGTTTATTTTATACATGAAGTTTATTTATATACATACATTCCTTTAGCGCTGACACTACCGAGAGAAGCTATAAATATGTAGATTTGACTGAAACATTGCCAGACAATTCATTGCTACCTTGTGTCTACTTGCAGACAGATATTACACCTCATTACAAATTATACAGCACTCAACCGAGAGACGACAAAAGACACTGTTACAAGACTAGAAGATTGCACGGAATGACCAAGACACGGGGGTATTTTTTGTTGTTTGAACAGTTAGAAAAAGCCCACTTAAGCCCAAATCCCTAGTGCCCACAGCCAAAATATCGCAGGTTATAATTGCAATTTTCTTGATGTGGCCTATAAAAAAATAAATTTATGCAGTGATTCAGAATTAAGGTCTGTACTGCTCAATAGCTGCAATTTAAAGAACAGTAGCACGCAAATGTAGACAGTCATTTTGCTCAGAGACACAGGGCAGCACTCCCATATATGTTTGCCTTTAAAAAGTCTCGGGATTCAAAGCCCTTCACTTCTGAAGCCCGAAGCCTTTTCTTACCGGCCCCAGGCTGTAAGAGGAGTGATGAGCTGGCTGTGCCCCTCACCCATAGGCGTCCAAAGGCGGGAGTGCAGACCGCCAGCGCTTCCCCCTGCCCATCGGGAGCATCTGAAGAGCTCGCCGGTGCCTCGGCACACACTGCGGAAGGAGAGAGGTATCAGCCGGGCAGGGAGGGGACCGAGCCGGGGGAAAGGAGGGACGGGCCATTTGTGTCTCACGACAGGATACAGGGCGGAGAGGAGGGCTCCGCACTGGGTTTTAGTGAGAACGAGCTGTTCTATCCCCCCGTGTTGACTCCACGGAGCACCGCCAAGCTCCGAGAGGGCAAGATGTGAAGGGAAAGCGACGTAGGTTCCACCCCCCAGGCCCTGAAGTCCCCCTGAGAGCGGCCGCAGCCTGCTTACCGCGCCCGCAGCCGGGGGACAGAGAGGGCGGGCTGGGCCTCTCCGCGCACTAAATACAGCCCCGCGCTCCCGCGAGACCCCACGAGCTCCAGTCACCGCTGCCTATTGGCGAGGCCAGCGCGCGTGACCCCGCGCGGGGCGGGGCCCGTAGGGCAGAGGGCGGTGGAGCTGCTCCAGAGCCGGGCCACGGCCGGGTCTGAGGGCTCGGCCCAGTTGCTCAGCTGTGCTTCCTGCCGCGGCCCCCACGGGTCACATCAAGGCTTTTCTTCGGGATGTGCTCGTCCATTCCCGCCCAGGCCGAGTTCTGGGTGCTCGGAGATGTTTACCACAGGGAAACAAAAGTGCGAAGTAGCAGCTGTGTAGCGGTTTTGAGGCGCTAAATACCGCTGATCTCTGTCTAAACTCCTGTCTAAGCCCTGCTTAGGAGGCTTAGGAGCTAGCTGTCTGTGAGGATGGCGAGGTAAAGCCCCGAGCCTCGCTAATGCCCTGACGGACAGCTCTGCTGGGCTGCGCGCCAGGGGTGACACGGAGGCAGCAGGCCTGTCCTGCGAGCCAGCCCTCAGCACAGGCACAGCACTGCTGCTGCCCTGCCCCAGATAAAATGGGCTGCCTGTCTGGGGATGCTACTAAGAGGTTTTGGAGCGAGTACGAGCAGATTAGTATAAACAGGGAATTAGTAGTTTGAAGCACAGACACTTCTTGTCCAGCAAAGCTGGTATGTAGAAATCACAACATATCATAGAATATACCAAATTGGAAGGGACCCATCAGGGTCTTTGAGTCCAACCCTTGGTCCTGCACAGGGCACCCCAAGAATCACACCCTGTGCCTGAGAGAATTGTCCAAACTTTTGAAGTTTATTTCTATTTCTATGAAACTATTTGAGAAGTCCCTGCTTCTCAAATAGGTGTGTATATTGCTGAAAATTCGTACCTTCTTGTCCCAGTAAGAAGCAATATGTCTTGGCTCATGCCGAGCTACTACCAGCACAGCACCTGTAAAGTGTGTGAAAGGAAAATAACGAGTTGGCCTGCTACACCTAATCTGAACCCTGCATTTAAATTACTCTCAACAGAGTTGAAACAAGCTGATGCAGCCTGAAACATATAGTCACATAGTTGCAATCAAGGGATGACTCTAGAAATTGTTTCCTACCACTTCTAGCTACCTCTTCTGTCTAATTCTTGACACTTAAAACATTGTTGCAGATTAACCCGGTACCAGTTAATTGTCTCTGCAACAAGATTCAAAATCTGTCTCAGGACTCCGGGTAAATCAGTCTCTGGAGATAAATTTGTGAGACACGTAGTTTGAAGTTATTTCAAGTGGGCTCCTTTGCAATGACTGTTTTCTACAGTCAGACACCTAAGTAAGATCAGTCATTTTCTGTAATGTAGTCAAAAAGATGAAGTGGCATCCAACCTTTAAATTTCTAGCACTTGTGCCAGTGGGATTTACATCAAGTTTGGTTTCTTCTGTTCCAGTATAGAATGTAAACTGGGATTTCTGTTACACAGAAAAACAGCAAACCACTGAAAACCAGTGATCAGTATCCATCCAAGATGAGCATTTTAATCATTTGCATAATCTGACACCTTTTTCTTGCCCCTCACAGGCGTTCTTCTGTTTTCCTCATACAAGTTTGCGTTGTTTGTCTTCTTTCTGTCTCCATGAAACTAACTTTTGTGTCTGACAGTGGCACAACTTCAAGAGAAGGAATGCAGAGTCTACCTGACTTGACTGTCCTTTACCAAACCCTCCCTATGGAATAAAATAACTGTCCTTTAATAAATTACTGCAAGGGTCAGATGTGGATTTGAGCCTCTTTACTTGCAGGTTAGTTCTCCCATTTCCTGGGAAAATGCTGTAACCATTAAGTTGCTACCTACGAGGCTGCAGGCAGATCTGCTATTTCCATGCGTGTGGGTGTAACTTTTATCTGAATGAACTTGTCAGCTGGACACTGAGTCTGCCTACAACGTGGGTACTCTGGGGACTTGAGGGAAATATCAGTGGATCTGGTTAATTTTGCAATTACCCTGGATCACTAACTGGGAGAAATACAGCCCTTGTCATGAGCAGAATTTGTAGGAAATCCAGTTATTATGGGGACATTTTGAAATTTATTAAGTGGCAGCAGGGTGTCTTGGTTATTTTGTAGATTAGTGTTCAGCTTTTCAAAGAGTTGGATGAGGTGAACTAACTTGCTCAAATCTTGAAGAGTGGTGCTCTAATTAGCCAAGTCTCTCCTTGTCGGATGCAAGAATTAAGTCTCAAAGTCAACTGCTTTTATTCTTCTCACAGAAGACTCTTGAAAACAACTTGTTTAACAACATCATGAGTTTACCACAATGTGCAATTGTCATAAATGTTTCACTTCAATTTTACCATCTTTCTCCACACTGAAGGAAAATTAATCAAGTAAAACCTCATTGTGACCATCAGTCTTTGCAGGTGGATTACACTGAGTACTCAGTAGTACTGAGTAGCATTAAATAATCATCAGGTTTGGAATCTTAGAACGTAATAGCCTTTGATTTATATGTATATATTTGTGTGTGGGTGTGTGTGTATAATTTGGTTAAAACTTTGAGAGGATAATATAAAAAAAGTGTAATTTAATTAATTTATGCACAATTTAATAAAATGTAAAGGCTATTTTAAATTCATGCTGAAAACAGACTAAATTCCACTTAGAGCTTATCTGTCCTTTGAGGTTTTTTTTGTCCTCAGAATGTTTGTGAGTTAAAATTTGAGCCTGTAAAGTACAATAAAAATAACAAATTAAATCTTTGGAGAAGAGGAAGGCAAGCCAGAATCATTATTTCCTTTTCAGAGGCAGAAATAGTGATATATTTCTGTAAAAAACTTCAGTTTTCTGTTATTTTTCCTTAGTGAGTCTCTTTTTGTTTGATAAATTACTTCCATGGTTTTTAATTTTTGGTTATATCTTTCCAGCCAATATGTATGATTAAAATTTAAATAGTACGATCCCACCTGAAAGCACATCTTTTATTGGTAAGAAAAATGCCAGTAAAGTTTGCTAGTGAGCTCCCTGGCTGAATAATATACCTGATGAAGAGGTCATTCTTCGAGACTCTTACTTCTGGAAAGGTGGGAATATTTTTACTTGAGTAGTGAGTGTGGGGAAGGTTAGTATTATTTAAATTGGTGAAGCAATTCACTGAAGTTCTGTTATTGTCACTGTTCCAAGCTCTTAACACAGTGTATTTGAAACTCAAGCAGAAGGAAAAGCGCAGAAGTAAGATACTATGAGATAATCACGGCTCTAGGCCATCCTCAACATTGGACTGACTGCAAAGGCTTTAACAGCCTCCTCATAGAATAGAATTTAGTGGCTTTCACAGCCTCCTCATAGAATAGAATTTAGTGGCTTTCACTAGAGAACTACAAGACCCCTTGTATCTACTCAGCTTTTGGTACATCAATATCAATGTATTTGCATCTGTGTTATTCTGCTGTCTTTGGGCTTTCAGATCTGTTGTCTGGCCAAAAAAAGAGATGATGTCAGATGCTGTAAATGCGTTTTGTTTTATTCTGTAAAGTAGCAATTTCTGAAAAAAATGAAGAGATGGTATTCTCTACTTGCCAACTATAAGATGCTTAAACTAGCAAAAGGTAGACAAGATTTGGGGATTGATTTAATGCAGCATTATTTTCCATGCTTTATCTTTGGAATCCTGACAAGTCATACCATCACCAAAACATTAAGTTTTACAGAATTTTGAATCAAGAGAAATAATTTCTCAGATAATTTGAAAATGCTGGGTAGAGGTTGCTTTAAAAATGATAGACTTAAAGAAGAATAGTAATTCCAAAGTTTAATTGATTTTTTGGTTTTAGACTCTCCACATTTTCTATGGATTTTAATGATTTTTTTATGGACTACAACTCAGTCTTACCATTAAAATTTCAGGTGCAGATGGAGTGGTTTCCATGGACCTGCTATGAGCCATGTGCCACAGATTCAATCCATAGGCTGCAAGCTGCCATTTGGCATTGTACTAAAGCCACCAGTCTGTTCTGAAATAAGGCCAAGTTTCATGGAAAATCCTGATTACTCATTCATGTGTCTACACATTTGCCATTTTCTTAAAGATGTTTTGCTATTTTTTGGTAGAACAAAATTTAATATTAGATACAAAACATATTTTAAAAAAATTGTAAAATTCTAAACATACATTGTCAGCACTGCAAGTATTTCAGGTATCTGAATTCTCTTATAATTCTTATATCTTTTCCATGCTTCCAGAAAACCTTAGTACTGTATTAACTCCCTTTTCCATTAAAATGACCTTTTAATTAGTTGGAAATATATCCTAAATTTGACCTGTTTCAAACATTTGTTCAGCAAAACTGACTGATGATTACCCACTTCTGAACCCAAGTTTATTACAAGAAAAACATAATGAACCCTCTGTGGAATTTTCCAAGATTTCTGGAGAGGAAATGCAATATCCTCTTTGTAGCACAGAATGAGCAGATATTCTAGCCTCAGATTTGCTACCAACTCTTCTGTTTAACTTTGGACAAGTCACTAAATTTCTGCTGGCAATTTTCTTGCTTTGTAAAAGAAGCTAATATTAACTTGCCACCCAGTAATTTGACAACTCTGAGTGAATGCTTGAAGAGTACTCTGAAAAAGTCAGATGGAAAATGTTATGGAAGTCCATGCCTCTGCTAGCCAAGGAGGATATTTACAATAGGTCCATATTTTATGCAGTGAAATAGAAATGTTCCAGTGTAAAACCAGATGAGACTAAGACGGATCTAAAATTAAATGCAGGAGGTATTTTTTGACCTTTCAACAGAAATTATATAAGCATTCTTAGGTTATAAATAGTCCTTTGTTTTCCTTCTCTTTGTCTAACACCCAGAAGAAACACAGGGTTGGTTGTTTGTTGTAAGGTGATAGGGCAGTGTTTTAGAGTGGAAACAATTGTGCACTGTTCTTTATTTATACAATTCCTATATAGTTTGTAACTAGTATTTGTTGCATTGCTTAGCACTTTTTTATCTTCAAACAGTTACAGAAATAAAGTTTCTATTCCTGAATATGACTACAGAAGAAGAAAACAAAAACAGTCCATTTCCATCATGAAAGTTCCTTTCTTTTTTCCTGTTTTGATATATCTGAAGAGGAAAAAAGACAGTGCTAGACTACTGACAAACTGACATTATAGGCACTTGTATATTATTCCCTATTTTTATTAATCTTCAGAAAAAAGACATAAAATGTGTCCACCTTTAAATGAAAGTATGTATATTATCATTAATGAATATGATACAGAATTCACAGAATGATGTGTGTGCATGTTTACAAATAAATATTTGAGCAACTAATAAGTGCTTAATCAGTAGCAAGCATTTAATTTTGTGCCCAAAAAAAATAATGTTTAACGACAGAAGCAACTGAAAACTTACCCTGAAGTCAAGCAACTAGCATTTGAGAAAAACAGAATTATGAAAATATTATTTTTTTCTATTTTATTTTCACAATTTCTATAATTTCTCTGAGGTTTGTACTATGGAAATAATGCTATTGACACTAAAATATATGTGAGGCAAATGGCTTTATTAGATATTGCATTTTGTTTAATTTAAAATTTTAATCACCTTTCAAACCCATTTGTTTGCTCCATAACTTTTCACTGATAGAAAGTATGATTCTCCACAGTAAATTGGAATAAGCAGGCTGCAGCAAAGACTACATGATTAGGCTTGTGTAATGACAGGCATCAGAGTTTAAAAACCAGGTACTGTGCAGTACTGTTCAGTCTCTGCAGGCTACTTAGAAATGCATTGGAAACTAATCAGACCTTGATTGCTTCAGTCCTGACACGTCAGCTTAACTCCCATTTTCCCTGGTTATGTTGAGAAAACCTGTCATATTATGTATAATCCAGTCCTCTGAGTTTAAGCAAATTAAACACTTGGGATCAAATTCACACATAATGTAAGACCATGAACTTAATAGAATTATACCAAAGATATTTTTTTTTTCTCAGTGATGTTATTTGATGGCTCTTTGTTATAGTGATTTGTGGATTTATGAAGCAGTTTAATGGCCCAGAGGACTTCACTCCATTATGTCCAAAAATCTTTCTCCATCCTGTATTTTAAATGTCTGCAATGATTTAATATAACTAATCCAACTTAGGGAGGGAAGAAAGTTCTGTCTCTGTGACAACTCAGTTTTGAGTTTCTTTGCTGAAACTGTCAACTTGACATACCAACTAATGCCAAATTTGATACCATTCTTATAAAGTGGGCACTTGTCCACAGTGAGCTGGATTAAGGTCACTTACCTAACAGTATTCTCAGGGCAGGAATTTATCTTTAGATGTTACTGGTGTTACTGCTGATGCCAGATTTTTACTAGTAATCATAGATCTTCTTTTGAAATTATAATAATAAAAAATTAATATACTTAAAATAAACAAACAAATAAATAAATAAAGCCTGTGGATCCAGGCTCTGTAGGCTGCAATTTTATTCTAGCCTCATGAAATGAAAGGCATAGCCAAGCATGAGCATGCCACACTTCAGGTGCTGTTAGGGGCAGAAGTGTCTGTAGAAATGTTAGTAACTCTCTCCTCATTTGAATGATTTCCTCAGCATAGCAGAAGAACAATAAACGGGCCTTAAGCTCCTGCTGAAAAAAACAACATCTGCTAAGGTAAGGGGAATTCTAAAATGAGGATTGCCCTAGCTGAATTATGTTCTTGCTTCTCTCAGAGATTTACTATGGGACCTCAAGTTAGCTATTTAACAACTTTGTGCCTATTATCAAGTGTGTAAATGTAATATACTCACACTGCTCTACCTTGGAGAAAGGCATGGGCTTCAACTTGCTTGTGTTTGAAGAGAAACTGCGATTATTACATTAACTGTGTTGTGTAAATGTCACATGTTGTGAATTTGTGAGTGAGCACTTGCACACGTGGTGTGGACATAGTCCCAAAACGACATTTGTGAAGACAAATGCAATCTGCATGCACGGCAATACAAAGCACCAACTGTGGGCAGTAAATAACATTCCAGCCTACTGTTCTGGATTTTGCAAGTGCCTGGGCTCCCGTGTACCTCTAAATGGGTGGGGTGAGCATGTCCCAAAGCACGGTGCCGCCGAAACTGCCACACATTCACGTCCTCCTGCCTGCACTCTGCCTTCCTGTCCTTCACCCCGCTGCCTGCCGGTATGCTTGTGTACGCTCTGAGGCCGGCTTTCTCAGCCCCATGGCCATTCCAGGCCCGGCGACTAAAGCACCACGGCCCCTCTCGGAGGGCCCGCCCGGAGGGGCGACGGGCGCAGCCCCCCCGCGCCCCCTCGGCCCCGCAGCGCATTGGCTGCGGCGGCGGCCGCCCCGCCGGGCCCGCTGGGGTGCCCGTGCCGGGCACTGCCTCTGACCTTCCCTTCCCCGGCGCTGTCACAGCAGATCAGCGGGCGCGGCGCTGCGATGGAGCGGCGAGCGGCAGCGGCAGCCGCCGGGAGAGGAGGAAGAGGAGGAGGAGGAGGAAGGGAGAGATTAGCGCGGTGCCGGCTGGCGCAGAGGCGCGGCTGAGCGCTCCAGCGGGAGCCGGGGCCCTGCGGACCGTGCGAGAGGCACAGGCGGAAGGAGCGGAGATGCGGCCGCTCTCCCTGCGCTGCTGAAGCTCCCAGTCACTAGCCCGGAGGAGGGAGGCCGGGAAGGTCCGTCCTTCTCGCTGCTCTGCGGCCGCAAAGGGTGCCTGTGCAGTCCCCTCCTCTCGCTTTTATCCCAGCCCCGGAGCAGGAGCCGCCGCCGCCCCCTATCCCTTCCTGCGCTCTTCCCACCATGAGCGGGGCTGTTTTCACCTTATAAAGATGGCGGTGTGGGATCGCTGCAACCTTTAGACTAATGACTGTCAGAAACATCGCCTCCATCTGTAATATGGTGAGTGCTGACGGGGGGGGGGCGGCACGGCAGCCCCTGCGGGGGCCAGCTGGGGGGCTGCCCGGGGGCGCAGCACAACCGCGCCACTCCGTCCCTTGCCCCGGCGGCGGGGGAACAGGGCGGGCTGCGCCGGGAAGTGCCTGGGATGGAGTTGGCCGACTGAGAGTGACGATGTCCCGAGGAGTTTTCCTGGAGCAGCCGGGGCGTGGGCCGGGGAGGGACGGAGATGCAGAGCCGGTGCGAGGCCCCCCGGAGCGCGTTTGACCCCGGCCGAAGCGCGTAGCAGACGGAGCTATGGCCCGCCCTTCCTCCGCCTGCCCTTCCTCCTGCCCTAATAATAATACTGCGAGAGGACCAAAGTTGGGTTCTGAATCCACATTAAATCAGTGACCCTGTTTAACGCCTTCAGGCAGGCACCCTGTGGTCTCCTAGGGCCAGGAGCTCCCCTGATTACACAGAAAAGGAGGATGTTTAGATGCCTAATAACACTTTTGGATCCCGATGCTAGGTGCCTGTTCTAGGAAGTCTTGGCTTTAGAGATTACAGGGTTTAACTTGCACTGCATGCTGCTCGAAGAAGACTGGTGTTTGTACTCTTGAATCACTTAGCTTTCTCTAAACCAGACTACGCAATTAGAAGGGAATAAGGAAACATATTTTTGTTTGTTATGTTCAATTTGCTACTTTTCTCCCCATGGAACAGTTGAAACGATGCTTTCTGCATTGTGTTTGGGTTTGATTTCAATTCTAACAAACTTGGAGCACTTAATTTGGTTTAGGTTTTAGAAACTTCTTGGTGGGATGAGGAAAAGCTCAAACTTCGTAAAAGATTTTAATACAGTGAGGCAGTAGCAAACTTGCCAAAGAAATGGTTGCATGCTAAGCATCTCAGTGCAAACAGAAGAGAATCTTATTTTTGTTCATTTTGTTTTTTTTAGTCTGTATTTTTCACCCTTATTTCCAGGTTCCTCAAGAGCAGCTACACACAGTTGCCAGCTCCCCTCCATGTGGTGCCCCAGCATGCCTTGTGCTGCTGATGCCACACATACTATTCCTCCGCCCTGGAGAATGGAGCCTGTCTCTAGGGTAAGGCAGCGGGCACAGCCCCAGAGGCCTGGCTTCTGTGGGCTCAGAGTGAGGGAGTGCAGATTGCAAGCCTTCTCCCCTTCCATGTGTCCACACTTCCACTTAAGTGGGATTGCTCTTTTGTTGCAAATGAGATGCCTAGGAAATCCTATGTATAGTTTTGATTTGAACCTCAGTCCTGCCTTTGAAATGTCTACTCTGAAATACAGAGAGGGTGAGTTGGTTCTGAGGTTTAAAGAACTAATACAGAGTCCAGATTTTAGGTATAATAACCTGGGTGCTCACCTTTCTTCACCAAAATTAACTAGTTTTCTGAAATTTTCATTGTTCTTAATGATTTCCAGTCCAGTGAGCCATAAATACTGCAAAGAGAGGTTCAGGAAATGATACAGGACTGAGGAGAAAACCTAGGTGCACTTACCCTCTCTCTGAGGCAGGCTTCAGTTTTTACTGCTGATTAATGGTGGTTGTGATGCCTTGTAAACTGTATAAAAGAGCACCACATGAAGGGGATCTGGAGACTCATAGGTGGATGTAAGACCTTGGCATAAAGTACTAGGAACTCTTATTTTTTTATGTGCTTCAGACAGATGCATTTGTGCGCAACACGCTTCTCCCAAAGACTGAGCAGATTCACAGCAGAGCTGATGAGGTTGTAATGGTGTGCTGCTCAGCTGTCATTGCCAGTGTATCCTGCAAAACTACCATCTGAGAGATGGAGAGACTGAAGGGAAGAAGGAGAACCCCAAGCAGAAAAGGCATACAAGGATTCATACTTCAAGGCAATTCTAGCTCATGGTACTGTGACAGAAGGTGCAGTCAATTCAATGTTAATGATGCTTTAAGGCTACATATTCCTTGAGGTCTGAGTACTTAGCTTTTAGAGATGCTATGTTGTGTTGGTCACATTTCATTTTTTCTGGATAACCCTTAGGGACTGGAAGTTCTTTTAGGCAAAAACAATGGAGTTTTCAGACAGCTATGGGAATTTGGGGCTGAAAGAGAAATACAAGTTCTTGCAAGTGTTGGCAATATTGTGTTATGGCTCTTCTGCAAATGTGTCCACTCTGATGAGGTGATGGATTTGAACTCAGTGATCTGTAGGATCTATGACCACCTTCCGGAGGGCTAGAGGTATAAAAGTAAACCTTTTGCCTTTTTAAGACCTAAATATTTGCAGCACTAGTTTGATTTAAGATATCTGTAGAAATCTGTCTAGAAGGATGCTGAGATGCTGATTCCCAGACCTTGTTCCTCCACTACAATGCTTGAAAACTGAGCTACTGACAATATGTGGAACAAGGAAAAGCTGTGTAGTTCATAGGTAATATAACATGTTTTTCTATATAATGCTACATAACTGTAGGTTTCTAAGTTTTTTAACCTGGTTGGACTCAGTAATTTAAAAAAAAAAGAGGTGTTCTGGTTTTTATTTTTTTCTCATTGCACTTGAGAGTGTTGACAAAGGGTTTTTGTTTTTTGAAAAAAATGCCCCAAAATCTAAACAATGATGTCTGATTGATTTTCAGGGGTGGCAGGGGGAGTAGTGGAAGAGAGACAGAGGCAGCAATTGGTCCTGAAATACTTGCCCCTCCCTGAATGCAACTTAGATTATGCTTTTGATGGCAATCCTTTTCTTGACAAAGTTTTATGTGTGTGTTTATCCAATGTTTGCTCTCGTGTCCTGAAGGGAAAAAAGTTACTGAAATTTAGCTGAATTAATTTAAAAATCTGGCTAGCCAGCATTTTTGGATGTATGTTTGCTATTAAGTTTACTGCCTGATATCTGGTATCTTGATTTGTAATTTTGATCTCCTAAAGATGGTAGAGATTATTAGTCTTTTCAGGAAGGATCAAAACAAGTGTAGTGAAGCAAGAAAGACAGGAACAGTATTTAACTCACTTGCAAAAGATACTTAGTACTATATATTCGCTGGATAAGCTCTCACATGCTGAGACAGACACAGTAGGAGCTAGCCAGTAAGAAAAAAATATTGGCAGGGGAATTTTCCACTTGGCACATTTACTTGTAGTAAATATTTAAATGCACAACTTTCTAGAATTAAACAAAATTCTTCTATTGTCTTCTACCAGTTTTGTCCTCTAAGTTACAATAATAGCAATAGTTCTAGTTATTATTCATTGATTACCTTAATGAGAACTAAGAGCTAAAACTTGTTCTGAATGGTGGAGGGGATGAAGGCAACTGTGCCTCAAGGAGTTGGTGGGATTCTTACATGGGTGTGATGGCCATGTTCCTTGAGAAGGGAGGTCTAGTCCCCAGGATGTTCAACTTACCTGCCCTTCAGCCCCTGTAAAAGCTCATTCACTCTGTCTGCACACCATGTTCACCATTGAGGGATGCATACACCAGGCAGTTGTCATCTTTTATGTAGAATAGGTACAGTAGATGTGAAGAAGCATAAGACACATTAAAAAACTCTATTTGAGGGAATACCAACAGGCAGTGCCTCATAACACTTGTAGACTGCAGGCACCGGCTAGGGATGTGATGTAGCCCCTACAGTGCTGTAATTCTCTTTGGTTATTGTTTCTGTGAAATAACCCAATGACTCAAGTACCAAATGCTGGTTCAAAGATAGTCATGCTGGCATTTTATGCTTACTGAAATCCTCTGTAGTATGTTTCTCTGCTTTAGGTACAGCCTTGAGTTCTGAGTTAAGCTCATGCTGCAGCTGTGGCCTAGGGATATTACTGTTATGTGCAGTGAAGGACATCTAACCATTTCAGAATGTATTGACATACATTTATACTGATCTGGCTAACAAGCTCTGTGGACCATATTTCTTTTGTAATTCTGTTGAGAACAGGTATTAATTCCCCTCCTTTCATAATTTTGTAATAGTATTTCAAATATTCCAACTAGAACTTCATGTTGTTCTGGCCATTAATAAACAGAATAATCTAAGCACATTCAGATTTCTCTGATACAAGGTGTCATCTGAGATACTTCACAGTTAGTCCTGGTAGTTGTTGTATAGATATCCTTTGGGAAGTAAGTTGCAGTTCCTTAGATTAATATTGGAGTTTCATGTTACTCTTTCTTCTCATAGTCTCAGAGTTATGAGCTTCAGGCAAATAGCTGGTTTTCTGCATGAAAACATTCACAGAATTCATCAGGAATTCTGTGAACACCTGTGAATTGCAGCTTTCATTTTAAAATAAACAAACAAGCAAACAAACAAACAGTTTCTAACCATCCTAGAAACTAGTTATAGAGAAAAAACATACAAGCCTAGGAGTCTCTACATTCAGGAAATAAGAATAAATGTTGGATTTTTTTGTTTATTTAATAACATGATTTTAGAGACTCATTGCAGGATTTTTTTGAATACAGGGCATTGGCAGAATGAAGACTCAAACTACAAATAGATTTGAAAAATGCTTTAGACAAAAAAAATCTCTGCAATTTGAATGCTGTGAAAATACTAAAATACTGTTTCATACAGGAATAATAAGAATATTATTCAGTTGCAGAACTGATCACTATGATTTTCAACTGGATTTATTCATTTGGACAACCTGCAGTGTATATTACTTCATATCTTATATATCTTCCCATAAATACAGATAAAGGCAAAATAATTCATGCCAGACAATAAAAAAGTTATCTGAAGGCATATTTACATTGATAAGGAAAATAAATTTTTACATCTGATAAGTTTAGAGAGTTCAAGCAATGCAGTTTTAGAACCATAGTCTAAAAAAATAGATATTTTTTTCTAAATAGATAACAATATGTTTTTCTAAAAAGAAAAATACAGAAACAAAAATATGAAAAGTACAGAGAATATGAAGTTTAATCATTGGAAAACTTTCTGAAGTAATGAGAAACTTGAGAGTATGGCTGACAAATGGGTACTGGACTAACAGACAGGAAGTGTGCATTCCATC